TTTAAAAAAGAACAGTTTTATACTTAAATAATTGAAATGAAAAAATAACAATTGGTAGTTAAAATTTAAAATAATAAAAAATAAATTATCACATAAATAATTTTTGCAAGCTGCAACCAGTTCTTAAATAATAATAATAATAGTAGTTACAAAGTCAGACTTATATAAGTTGAAAAAGGTTTAAAAATTTACTTAGTTTCATCGTTAGCAAACACCCATTGTACACCAGTTTCTCGCTCTATTTGAATTCTTAGTAATTCAGTTTTCATTTCTTCTTGTTTTAACTTCTCTTCTTCCTGCTTCAACTTCTGTTCTTTTTGCTTTTTTTTTAGTTGAAGTATCTCTATTTCTAATTCGTGCTCTTTATTAGCATTGACACTTACAGAATGAAGTGAAGCGATTTTAGTTTCTAGAAGAGTCTGTGATGCTGATGAGGTTAAGACTGGTCTTCTTCGGGACACAACATTTTTAGTGTCGCCTGGATTTTTGCGTTGAATTACTTTTGGAGATGCAGCAATAGAGGACTGCAATTCCGTCGCTGTGCTGGTGTTGGGCGGAAGACTGGATGAATAGGGTAGTGGCTGGGAAAATGATTGTGAAGGTTGGCAGAGAGCAGCAGACATTGGAGTCTTCAGCATAGCTGGGCTATACTGCGACCAGTCATTTTCAGTTGTCATACTGCTTTGTTTTTTCACTACAAATATTTCCTCCTCATCTTTTTCAATCATTTTATTTTCATAGTCATCAGTTATAGGTTCTGATGACATATCTGTAATAGGGTGAAAGTTTAAAATATTTATATTAGTAAATAATATAATTACTATATTGAAATAATAATATTAATCATGAGTAAATTGACTTGCTTGTAATTATTTGACTTGGAATGTCTGCGTTGTCATCAAACATATTACAAAATGGTGTTATGGGCTACGAGATGTACCAGAGCTACGAAGAACAGAGCAACTTCACGACACTCAGCCACTTCTTATATCAGTTACATGTATTTTATTTATACAGATTAAACATTATTGTAATTAAAAGTTGTACAATTCATTTTAATAACACCTTGGATCTGGATCTGATATTGGCACGCAACAATGGTTCGACATGTGGTCGAATTAGCCCCACAACTGTTTCAATTACAGGATCGGCTAAAATTGCCTTGGGTTTACCTCCTCCTGTGAAAACCGTACATTAGTTTACATCAATATTTACATGATATATGGCATGAGATATAATACCTGTGCCATATAAGTTGTCTGCTTGCGCAGCAATCACCAACTTAGCCTTTCTCTTAAGGTTCTCCCACAGCGTTTTCAAACTCTGAGAATCTCTGTAACAGATTGAAGAAGCTGCGGCAAATTCTTCTGCAATAGTTACCCATCTCTGGTTCTTGGCTTTCATATTTACCCCGTAATTTTTTTTCGATTCGATCACACTGAAATGTCGAGTGACGATTTCTATAACTACACATTTTTCAGAGTACTCGAAACTACGTTCCCGTTTCCTCTTTAAAATGTTTAGAGTTTCCATATTTAAAATAGTTAAAAATCAAATAAACAAAACTTAAGAACAACAAACTGTTTCAAATTTTAAATAAAACGATCGAGAACTGAAATTGATAAATAATAATGTCACTGTTATCATATTTCGTAGGCCACAGCTGTTTGATAGGAACACTAATCATGGTTAGTAGAGTTAATCACGGTTACCGTAATCATGTTAGTGGAACCATGATTAGCATGGTGAAATCCAAACCTTAATTAATCACGATTAACTTTTAATCTTGATTACTGTAATCACGATTAATGCGTATTTGGTGAAATCGGCCCTAAGTCTTAAATATTATATTTATATATATATTTTTTTACTTACATCACTTGTAGAAAAGCATTCTTCTTCATCATCACTTTTAACTGAATAACACGACATTTTTTTAAATTTTAAAATAAATTTAATAAAAAATAGAAAAAATTTTGAGTACAAAAATAAGAGACGTGAGGACGGTGTAGACTCAATGAGGTATACTGTGTACACTGTGTTAGCTAGTCTCCTTATATGCTATGTTTCCTCTTACACTCCTCACCACCCATAAGCATGATTTGTTATAACCACTTTTTTGGCTAAGTTGTTATTCTCACGGATATAATTTAAGAAAGCACTCATGTACGTGTACGAGGTCTTCTACGAATTTTAGAATGTAATACACTATAAGTTGAAAGACCTCAGATAGGTCTCAAACCATTAAAATCAAAATATATGATTTCTATGATTTCTCATACTCATTCCACATACATGCGAATATTAGTTAGTTGTTATTGCCAACTATTTTTTTTAAACATGTACCTGATTAATATAGTTCCTAGAACCGTTTTAAATACGTTTTATAATGTAATAAACTATAAGTTAAAAGACAACGGATAGGTCAAACCATTAAAATCAAAATATATGATTTCTATAATTTCACATACTCATTCCACATACTTGCGAAATATTAGATAGTTGTTATTGCCAATTATTTTTTTTAAACATGTCCCCCAAAATATATAATAAAGGTTATCTTAAAACGAATGACGTTGATGATCATAGAGATGGAAATTTGGGGCTATATAACTAGAAAATATTTTTTGAAAAAATCACCAGTTTTTATTGTGAACTCAAGTGAACACAAGTGAATGCAGCGGTCCGCAATAGCAGACATCAGATTTATTTGATACCTTTTCGCAAACAAATATGTAAGTACTTATTGTTTCTATTTTTTTATTAATATATATATTTAAAAATATAATATCTCATACGGTTAAATATAATTTTTTTTTTTTTTTAAACATTATGGCTTTTAAGTTTTTAATATTTAATTGAATAGTACCATAAGTGGTATATATGTAATATAAAGTATGATTAGTGTCTCACGTTTTTTAAAAATTGAAGTATTACTTTTTATTTTTTTAATAGTTACAGTCGATTATTTTATTAATAATAGTAAACCGAGTTTTTTTAAAAAAATAAAAAATATATTTAAACAGACTAGAGGAGGTTTTTTAATATATATATATATTTATCAAAATTATATTTTTTTGAATATATATTTATATATAATGCTAGTATTCACACATACTTATAATTTATTTAATGTATGATTCGTACTCGATTTTTTTATTCTCGTTTTTAAATAACAAAAAAAAAATCTCTAATTTCAGAATAAAATGATACAAGAATATATCAACAAAGGCGAATTAAAAAAACTTTATTTTCAATTAGAAAAAAACAAAGTGTCAGAAGTCGCAGCTGAAAGAATTAAAAAAGAAAAAATTAAATTAATTAATCATAAAATTAGAAATATATTTAGAAAAAAGTATTCTAGTTTAATAGAAATAGAAAAATTTAAAGTTGAGAAAAAAAAATTTTAGATGATTACATTTACTCTAATTATATTTTGAGTAAATGTAATCAACTGATATAACTAAATATATTATTTTTTAAAAATATAATTTAACATAATATTCATAATTATTATAGTAAATATATCTTATTACATTATCTGATTTTTCTAAATATTATAAAGTTTTTTTATTATTATTATATTAAAAATAATATATATTATATTTGATAAGGCTTAGTAAATATTTTAATCGTATTATGTTTTTGAACACAACAAAAAAAATTTAATTTTATACCTATTTAAAAACTCATCAAAATACATAATGATACAAACAAAATTTTTGAAATAAACCTAAGACAAATAAAAATACTGATTTAAGTTAAGAATGAATACATATAATACGATTTAAAAAAATTAACGAAAAACTAAATGATATTATACCTATGTAAAATGTTTAACAAAAAATGAAATAAATCTGCAAATACAAAAAATGAAAAAATTTTATTAACGAAAAACTAAATGATATTATACCTATGTAAAATATTTAACAAAAAATGAAATAAATCTGCAAATACAAAAAATGAAAAAATTTTATTAACGAAAAACTAAATGATATTATACCTATGTAAAATGTTTAACAAAAAATGAAATAAATCTGCAAAAACAAAAAAATGAAAAAAACTTATTAAAGTTAATGAATAATACATATAATACAATATTTCAAATTTAACGAAAACTGTATGTTTTTTTTTTTAAAAAAACCATTTTAAATTAATGTTGAATATATATAACATAACATTTTTTAGAACTGGAAAAAATAGAAAAAAATATACCTAAACAAAAAAAAAAAAAAAATTATATTAAATAATAATATATTATATTATTATAACTTTTTTTAGTATTGATGTAAATAAGTATTGTTTCTATAAATAGTTCATATATTCGTAAAATTCTCGTAGAAAATCACCTGCTGTTGATGTGAACGGTTGTATAATACAATGAATCTAGCGTACGGATGGCAAAGTTCCAGTAACTATCTTAGTTCCACATTACGGTTATTGAATAATCGTTTTGTGCGTCGCTTAGACGATTCGTTAACATTTTCAACCGTTCCGTATCCGATTATTCGGTGGCTATAATGGTGTGGAATAACATATGAATCTATTGACTACTTAATTCAGAAACATTAATATATAGTTTAAAGCAGTGGTTCTCAACGGGGCAATATCGCCTCCAGTGGGCGGTAAAGTGTCACCGAGGGGCAATGAACTAGTTTTGGGTGGTAGTGGGTCGGTGAACTAATTTTGGGTGGTAGAGGGGCGGCAAACGGTTCACGCAAAAACGTTGTAGATGGTGTCGGTGTGACCTAAAAATAATTCATACTTGATAATCCATATAATAACTATCAGTCACTACTCAATCTATGCAATACACAATAACTTATCTACAAATTTATTATCTTAATTATTTTAGCGATTGTGCGTTGACATTATACTTTATTATAGGTGCCTATATTAACCAACCTTTTAGTACACCGTTTGCTTTGACCCGCTTATGTTGTATTAGTTTTCGTTATATTCAGTCAGTTAGTAACGTGTGTAAAATTGTATTTCCAAAAATGTCTGATGCAAAAAGAAAATGCCGTCAATATAATATGACGTATTTAAAGTTTGGATTTATTCCATCGCCATTCAACATACAGCTCCCAATGTGTTTAATTTGTAATAAAGTGTTCTCCAATGAGGCAATGAAACCATCTCGTTTGCAGGAACATTTGCAAAAAGTTCATCCTGACAAACAAAATAAAGATTTGTCGTTTTTCACAAATATTAGGGACAAGTTTCTGAAGGCACCATCGGTCTCAGGCTTATTCGCAGGCTCATCAAAACAATGCGATGATGGTTTGATTGCTTCTTATAATATATCGAAATTGATAGCAAAATCGGGAAAAGCCCATACCATAGGCGAAGAGTTAATACTTCCAGCTGTCAAAGAAATTTTAGAAACGGTTTTACACCATTCAGCCTCACACAGTGTAATAAAAAATGTCCCATTAAGCAACGATACTGTGCGACGGCGAATCGACGAAATGGCGGAAGACGTTGAAATTTCATTATGTGAACTTCTATCATCCACAGAATTTTCACTTCAAATCGACGAATCAACATTGCCGAATAATGAGGCATTACTATTGGCATACGTCCGGTTTGTAAACAAAGGAAAAATCGTTCAAGAAATGCTTTTTGCAAGGACCTTGATTACTGACACAAAAGGTGAATCTATTTTCAATATAGTCAAAGACTTTTTTAAAGAAAAAAATATTCCTCTTAAAAATGTTATATCTATTGCCACTGATGGAGCACCTGCAATGGTAGGACGTCATCGTGGGTTCATAGCTTTTTTAAAAAATGAAATACCCGGTATTTTAGCTATTCACTGCGTCATTCACAGACAATATTTAGTTGCAAAAAACCTCAGTGACCGTTTGCATCAGTCATTACAATATGTCATATCTGCTGTGAATAAAATTCGTAGTAATTCGTTGAACAATCGACTATTTACAAAGCTATGCGAGGAAAACGACGAAGAATTCAATCGCTTGCTTTTACACACCGAAGTTCGCTGGCTCTCCAAAGGTGCCTGCCTCAATAGGTTTTGGAATCTTTTCGATTCTGTGCTTGAGTTTCTTGATGAGAAAGATGTAAAGCTCAAAAACAGGTTGTTACTATTTAAAAGCGATGTTGCTTATATGACCGATTTATTTGCAAAGTTTAATGCCATTAATCTGCAACTGCTAGGTGACGAGCTCAATTTAATAACGTCAAAATCGGTTATTTCTGCATTCCAAAAAAAATTGACTTTGTGGAAGACCAATTTTGGTCGCCAAGAGTTCAGCCAGTTCCCAGTCTTGGCTGATCTGCACAAAAACAGTAAAATAGCTTTCGACAACATACAAGTTTACTGTCAACACCTCGAGTCTTTACATATGGACTTTTCAGAACGTTTTAAGGATATTTTGTCGTTGGAAGTTCCTCAATGGGTCATGAATCCTTTTATAAATATTGAGACAGCAGAGATACAAATTCAAGAAGAACTAATCGAACTTTCAACTGATGAAACATTGAAATCCACTTTCAAGGGTAGTGATCGGCTCACGGAATTTTGGCTTAAAACTAACATAATTCATAATTATCCTGGACTGTGGACTCTCGTTAAAAAAATGTTAATAGCCTTTCCTTCCTCATACCTTGTCGAGCGAGGGTTCAGCACTGTAACAGATTTGATTACAAAAAAGAGAAATCGACTGGATATCGTGACAAGAGGAGATTTACGACTTAAATTAACAAACATCGAACCTAATATAAAAAAAACTTGCTAAAAACCACCAAGTTCAACCATCTCATTGAGCCTAGCAATATATTTTTAAAGAAACTAAAAAATGTATTTATATTTATATTTTTTTAAATAATTAATTTAATTTTTATTTATTTATTTATCAATAATTATTTTTTTAAATTAATTACCATAATACTAGAACTATAAATAAAAAATATATCAAACATAAAAAATAAATAAAAACATGAGTTATTAGATAATTTCAATTTTTTCTTTTAAATTTTCCAAATACCCTTAACCTAACCCTTATTATAGAATTCTCTCATTGTAGGGGCCGTTAAAAAAATTTTTGACATTTAAGGGGGCGATAACTTAAAAAAGGTTGAGAAACACTGGTTTAAAGGATTTTTTTTAAAAAAATATATATATCAATAAATTGATTTTTTAGCAATGGATTTAATCAATTTCCTCAAAAACGAGTTGCAAAAAACTAGGAAAGAAATAGCTGATGGAGAAGAAAGAGCAATTCAAACGGAGATAGAGAAAAATAATGAAATAGTTTTAATAAAAAGAAAAATAAAAAATATACGATACCAAAAATACTTGGCTAAAAAGTTATTAGATATAGAAAAAATTAAAATTTTAAATGAACAAATAATCAAATTACAAAATGAAATAAAAGTTATTATTCAATTTTATAAGCTGTATGATGATTACAGTTTTCATAGTCTGAGTGAACGTTATTCTCATTACAGCGATACCTCTAATTTATTACGTAATAATCTAAAACCATTATCAGAATTATTTAATCTTGATCTAAATTTTGATTGTATACATTAATGTTTAAAAAAAATGATTATATTATTATTTGAATTATACTTTTAAAAATAATGTTTTTAATAATCTACATAATAAACTATATATATACATTTAAAAAGAAAAAAGTGTTTTTTATTTATTTTTTATTTTTAGTTTAATTATAAAAAGATCAGTAATCACAAAATACCAACGTATGAATACGAGTGGAAGCGGACTGATCGAAATCGAAAGGTTTAAAAAATGTTCAAAAACGTTCATTATAAAGAACAGTCAAAAATATGTGGATTATAAATTATTTTTTAGTTATATTTTAGATAAGCTTATTTTAAAGTTAAAACAGTCATCACAAAAAACAGCAATCAAATTTAATTTACATGTTGATGCTGTTTTTGAACGTCCGGTAACCCATGATATTCAAGATATAGCTTTTAAATCATCAAATATTTTAGCATGCAATTCATCTGATTTTACATGTTTACTAAATAGTATGTTCAATAAAATATTAACTGAGGAATCAGAATTTATTGCAAAAGGTTCAGGTTAATCTCTTGTATCAATAGTTGGGTTACAGTTAAGAATTAATTTAGTAAACCCTCTAAAAGGGAGTTCATATATTGATTTACCGTTATCTATAAAAGAAAAAAAAGCGATTGTTAATGTTAAAAATAAGGATAATTACTGTTTTAAATATTCTATATTAAGTAAATATGATAAGCGTTCAAATAAATCTCGTTTTAACCAAGTATATTTTAATTTTTTAGAAAAAAAGAGTGGATTAAATTTTAAATGTATTGATTTTCCGGGCGAATGTAAGTTCCTACACGAGAGTAGCAGGTAAAAAAAATACACACGTTAGTTCCTACACGGCGGAAAAAGGTACGTATGTAAGTTCCTACACGGTAAAAACCAGGTACCTATGTTAGTTCCTACATGGCGGAAAAAAGGTGTATATATGTATATTCGATGTATATACGAATAAATACATATATGATGATTATACAATATAATAAAAATCGTATAATGCATTTTAATTTTAAAAATTGAATATAATATAATATAAAAAGTAAAAAATATAATAAAAATGAAAACTTATATTTTATGAGGTTTATTTCTATAACTTAATAATTTAACATAATCGTATTTATTTATTTTGCTTATTCTATAATCTGAAATTTTTCATTTATAAAATCTTCTTTTTCGGCGTATTTTTTACTGATTTTTGGTTTTGGGTTATTAATTGTAGTTCTTATTTTTATATACGTATTTACTTGAAAAAGTTTGAGAATTTTAATAATTTTAAAAATATTTGGATGTTGGTGATAAAAATTAGAGTTAAAATCTGAATGAAAACTTTCACAAGCGCTTGTCGTATGGACTCTATCAGAACATTGCCGCGCCCACATTTTCGGAGGAAAGATTGATTCATTTGATATATAATTGTCTACCAAATAATCACAAAATTCGGTTATAGTTGCATTTTCAGGTTTGTCTGCCATAAAATATTCTGTAAAACATTCTGCCACTTCCTCTGGATTGAGAAAAGGAAGTCCAAAAATATGTACTAACCATTTTCCTACATCGTCATTTGCAGAATTAAATTGTGGTGCGTAACCTAAATTTTGAATTTTGCGGTACCAAGCTTGGCCCAAATGAAAACGACATCCAAACACCTCTGTTTCCGGAAAAATTTCAAAAACTGCTTGATGCATTGCTATTTCAAAATCTAAAATAATTTTTTTAGGTATTACTCCAGCTATTTTTATTGTTTTCAATAATGCAATGTAAGTCTTTTTTTCTTTATTTGGCAATAAACAAAACATTAACGGAATGTACACTCCATTTTTAATGCCATGAATCGTGTATAGTTGCGTATAATATTTATCACTATAGTTAAAAGTACCATCCATATATAAAACATCTAATTCTTTTAACAAATCTATATTTGTTTTACATGAAAAAATAACTATTTCATTTAGCGCGTCATTTTCATATAAAAATAACTCACCTCTATTTGTTTTTATGTCTAATAAACTTAATATTTCGTGAACTTCTTTTCTTGATGTTGGCAGTTTGGGGAAACAATGCATTCTTGCATTATGAATATTCCTTGCTATGAGTTTTAAGTCGGGTGCAATCAAATCTCCTTCGTTAACATAATTTGATACTTCTTTTCGTATTATTTTTGACGGTTTTTCAACTATAGAGTCTACAGCTTTTTTTTTGCAAGCATTGCTTATTTGTTGCCGATTTAAAGTGCTATCACTTGCATGGCGGTGATCAAAACACGATTTATCTGTATTAATTAATTGGGCATTTTGACCCAAAGTATAAACTTTTGCACTACACTTATTTATTACACAACGCCACGTAATTTCAGTTTTTTTAGATGTATGATGCTTAAAAAATTTTAAATTATTCAAAACTAGTAGTTGTTTGCCTTTTTCACTCAACATGAATGATACATTCTCGCTCATTGTGAATTTGTATAACTGTATATGATTAGTATAAACGGATATGTACGGACACTCAGATGTTTCGAACAATACTAACAAAACTTTTAAGAGAAATAACTAGATGTACATTTTACTGTGTATAGTTATAAGACTTATAACTAATTTTAAGCTTATCAAATCAAAATCAAGTTCTGTATCATTTTTATCGATGATGAAAAGTCATAAATATTTTGTATGTCAAAAATATAGATAATAAGATATTTTATCTTTTTCCTTACGTCGAGTCGGTATAGGGGATAATATTATCAGTTTGTAGCTTGTCGTATTTTCCAGTGATTTCGTATATATATTTATAAGTATATTTGAATGTAGTTACCTATATTAAATAGCTATACCAGCGTATAAAGTTTCAATAACAAATCTAATTATTATAATATGCTTATTTGTGAAAATGTGTTATGCGATTTGTATTATATAATATATAATCATCATATATTTATTCGTATATACATATTTACACATATATACACATATAGGTACACTTACATATGTACCTTTTTCCGCCGTGTAGGAACTAACATATGTAATTGTTTACCTGCTACTCTCGTGTAGGAACTTACTATTCCCCGATTTTCCGACACCGATAAAACAGATAAAAATATTTGAACGTTTAAATATTGTTTCGGTAAATGTTTATAGTTTAAATAATAACAATTTTATTTTTCCATAAAACATTGTTGATTTGGAAAAAAATAATCATTTTGATTTATTTTTATTTAGTTATGGTAAAACATCACATTATAGTTATATTATCAATTTTTCAAGATTTATTAGGAGCCAGAAAACTAAAAATTGTTCTAAGTTAATAATTTGTAAGAGATGTTTTACAACTTTCAGTAATAAAAAATGTAAAAGCAAACGCTGGGGTAAATCAGGATTAATTAGTCATAAAAAAATATGTGTAACAAAAATAAATTAGGAAGACCTATAATGTTTGAAGAAGGAGTAGATGACGAATTTATATATTTTAAAAGTTATAAAAAAACCTGTAGAATTCCGATTGTTATTTATGCCGACTTTGAATGTATTTTAAGCCCTAAAAATGATGAGAAATTGAAGGATTCTAAAACTCACATCACTCATTCAGTGTTGGGCAAATTGTAATCTGATTAATGATTAAGGTTACATTTTATAATCGTTAATCGCTATAAAAATTAATGTAATCGTTAATCGCAATTAAAAATAATTTTAAATGATTAAAGTAATAATTTAATCATAGTATTGATTACGATTACAAAATGTATTCATTTGTAATCATGATTAATCTTTATTATTTTTTCTATGATTATTATATTTTATATCTAATTTAAGAATACAAATTAAGTATACAATTAATTTTACAGTAATACATTTGACACATGATAACAAAATTAACAATTATAAAAAACTAAACATTTTAGAAACAAAATATTTTTTCATAACAAAATTATTGTAAATGTAATTAAATAATATGATGATGATAACAATATAATTCAAATAATAAGTTTAATTTAATTAGGTATAATAATAAGTATATATTATTTAGTAACAATCATTGTAATAATTCAATGATGTTAATAAAAATAATGATAATATATGATATTCATAGTAATTTAGAATTTGAAACATTTTTATAATAAATTTGCCTTTAACACAACACGTTTTTCAAATAAATGATCCGATAGTTTATGGCTTTTTGGTTGATTCGTCATTGTAGCAAATGAAAAGAGTCTTTCTACAGGACCTGATGACGGAAGTGGAGTATTATAACTAAAGACCGGATTTTGCATATTATGCATGTTCATATTTTTATAAGCAATTGCATGCAATAAATGGGTTTTTATCAATCATACTTAAATAAATAATATTACAAACTTTTATTTTGCATATTTTTGCATATTTTGGGTTCAAGTGTATATTTTATATAAAAACGCATGTTTTTACATAATACGTATACACTAAGTATAAATTTAATTTAATTTTATAATTGTATGAACAATTATTATATATAAATTTTTCCACAATACAAAAATTGAAAATATTTTGTTTCCGTATTAGTTGGTAGGTAGGGAGGTTGTCGAGTTTTAAATATGCGCCCATAACAAGCGTTGATGTGGAACGAAGTTTTTCTGCATATAAACATATTCTCACAAATCGCCGTCATAATTTAACCGAGATCAATATGGAATATATTATTGTTACTTATTGTTTTTCTAATATCGAATAAATTAAAATTTTTTTCATTTTTATCATCATTATATAATATAATAATATTGTAGTTTATTTATATTTTCATAATTTATATTTTGATTTTATAACTTTACAATGAATAAATATAGCTGTATAATCAAAAATTATTTTGCATATTTTGCGTTTTATCTTGCATATTTTGACTTTTTATAGTGCATGTTTGCATGCATATTTTACAATTTAAAATGCATATAAATCCGGTCTCTAATTATAACGAATAAATACTTGTTTGATAGTTGGATATTTGTTTAGATGTTGAAGGTCATTTTCTTCATCAGCGAAGTAATGTAAGACTTCTAGTTCTGATTTTGGTATTCCGGTTAACGTCAAAGTAGAAGATCCAAAGTCAAAAAAGTCATCAGTTGTTTGATTTTTAGGTGATTTTTCTAATTCTAAATGTGTACTTTTTTCAATCATTATTTCATCGGCTGTTTTTTTGAAAATTCGTATGAGCCTAAAATTTTAATTTGTTACAGGTTATTGAAGCGCTTACAGTAATTTCCAAGTGGGCTGATCGAAACTCATCTTCAAAAGCATCTATATTATTAGCAGCTATAAGCAACAGTGATTTTATAATTTCTCTTTTATCAACTACTGATATTTTAAAATTATTGCTGCTTGTATCTAGACTTCTACAATCAACATCTTTAGATTTAGCTAATGCTTCTTCTGCAATAGAAGGAATAAAGGAAATATTTCAAGAAAAACGAACAATGTGTGCTAGTGAATTTCACACAATTTTCTTGAACGCTAGTAGTTTAGCAGAAGAAATTGGATGTGATATCAAAATGCCAAGAATAGAAAAAACTCAAATACATCGTGATAATTACCCTGCAACGGATGCTGAACAATTTTACTTGCGTAGCATTTATGTTCCATTATTGGATGCTATAAAATCAGATATAACCAATAGGTTATAAACAAAGACATTGGAAGCATTTGTTTTGCGTTTGCTTATACCAAGTATTATTGTTAAATTAAATGATACTGATGGTTAGGACTGACAAAAAATATCTAAGAGAATCATTACAGTAGCAAAAAAGTTTTCACCTCTTTTCACTGTTTCCGAACATGTAATGGTTGATATGTTAGAAGGTACCATTATTATTTTTTAATAATACAATTTAATTATAATTGTTAATAGTAATTAGCATCGCCATGACAACTTCTATTATTTATTTTAGGTGAAATTTGTCTGTGGCTTCACAAATGGAAACAACAATCGATTACAGAACGTCCATGTACAGCTTTGGAATCATACATGAACTGCGATGAAGATGTGTTTTCAACTATTAAAAAATTATTGCAAGTATTATCAACTTTACCAGTTAGTGTTGCCTCTGCTGAAAGGAATTTCTCCACACTTCGGAGACTGAAAACCTGGCTTCGCTCAAGGATGAGTGAAGATAGACTATCAGCATTATGCTTACTTAATGTTTATAATAAAATAAATATTCTAGATCAAATAGATCATATTATTGATATTTTCGCCAATTTAGAAAATAGACGTCTTGAATTTGTGTTGTAAAAATTGTTGTTTTCTTTTTGTTATAAGATTTTGTGAAATTATAACTTCCCCCCCCCCTAACTTAGGCTCTGGAGCCGCCCCGGTATCCTTCTTCTTCGAACAGGAAAGAATATTTTGATACCAATTATGAAAGTCTTTTGGTACAGCTTCAGATTTACATAGCTTCATGAGATCTTTTTTTTGATTTCTGATATTTTTAGAGGTTTATCGTACAACATTTTTAAATTTTCGGGAAGTATTGAAGGCCTACCTTTTCCGCCCATATGTATACTTCTATATTCATCGTCTGAGTAATTGTATTTGAACTGTATTATCCCTTTTTTATATTTTTCATACTTCATAACTTTTATTTTTAACCAAGACACTTGAGCACCAAAGTGTTCAATATTTCTATTCTTCATTAAAATACCGGCTAGACTTTTTAGATCAAAAATATCTGTGTATAATAATTCATGAACCGAGTACCCAGAACATTTTTATTATTTCTTTGAGACCGAGCTAGGCAACAGATATTCAACCAATCATACATGGTATATATTGGTACATTTTTTTTTAGTTGATTCAATTGTACTGTGCATGCTATCCACCTCCAATATGAGTGACCGATATCTAGCGAAACCACAGCCTTTTTTCGCTAGTCCCCAGCGGTGGTTCTCGGGCCTGGTACTGCCAAGGCGGAACGTCCGCTAACCACACCGGTCGCCAGCGTGGCGTGGGGGGTTGGGCTCCGTACGCGTCCGCTACAGGCCGGAGCGTTTGCCCGATCCGGGGAGCGACGGAAATGTAGTTCCACGGGCGTGAAGGCCTAGGTTTGCCCGTGGCGCGGGGCCGCTCACCGGGAGGACCGCTTGCCGTCCCCCGGGGAAAGACTATCGCGCCGGTATCGCTCCCCTCTGAATCGTGGGTAACCGCGAGGATGATGTAATCCCCTGACGGGTGTCGGGTCGCCTTGACCAGCTGTGAGGGTCCTGGCGAGCCGTCCCCGGAAAGTGATGGCCCGAGTCGTGCCTAAGCGCCTATACCGTCGGATCGGGGCTCTTCGTAGCGGTAGATGTGTTACGTATAGGGATGGCAAAAAATCGTTGACCATCGATATATCGAAATTTCGATATATTGCATACCCAACATCGATACCACGATATATCGACCACTATTTTATCGATACATCGATATATATCGGAACATTTTTTCTAATACTAAAAAAGGTAAAAGGTTCATAGACTTGCGAATAGATGATAGATTATAATTTATTTCAATAAAACCTTATGGCTTATACAGTTATACCGTAGTCCGAGGCCGTAAACTGTAATCGATACTTACTATAGGATTAATGACCAACAAATTGATTAATCAAGGCATGTACCTATATATTTAACAGAATTATAAGATAGTTTATATTTATAAAAACATAACAATTTTAATAAATTATATTTGCAATTTTTATATATTTCTGTATACTGTATGTCTGTATATTTAATTTTTAAAATATCATTTAAATTTAGTAAAAAAAAATGTAACAAAATTAACATTTATTAAGTTTGGAACCAAAGATCATCATCAATGGAGTTTAAAAAAAGTAATTTACTCAATCTCTTTCCTAACAGTCTATTCCTTGATTTTGAAAGCGTTAAACTAGCCTTTGAAAATAATCTTTCCGAAGGAACAGACGAACCCATGATGGACAAATATTTCCGAGCAAGTACATATAAATCTGGATACACAGTTTTCATATCTTCCCAGCATTGAACTGGATCTTCTTTTAAAGAAATTAAAGGCTGTGATAAGTAGGCATTTACATTGGTAGTTTCTGACAAATCTGTTCTTGTTTGTTTTCTTTTATATTTCTTATGTACTAATGTTTTATGGTGTTCCCATAAATCAAAATTATCAGATTGCTGTTCTTCGTCAACACTTGAACAATCAGTCGAGCTTGCTTCCTGTATTGAACTTTTGGCCAACTTTTTTAGCTCTACTATAGCTTGTTGACAGGCTACAGGATCTCTGAAGTGTACATTTTTAAACCTAGGGTCTAAAATTGTAGCTATTGGAAACATATTAAAAAACTCAATTTTACTAAACCGTTTTTTCAATTCTGTAATAATGTTTCTTTTTAGTTCAATCCCAATATCCAACGTAAGTTGTAATGATTCTATTTCAATAGTAACACAATTCAAAAGTGGCATAATTTTACTGATAACTACATATTTTTCACCAGATATTTCCAGAGTAACTTTCTCAAATGGCCGAAGTAATTTTATTGTTTCACGCAATTGTTGTAGCTCTCTTGCTGTGAGCATTTCAGGACCTGATGGTTTTTGCAAAAGAACATCAGAAACGAGTTTAGACAATATTAAAAATCTATCAAGCATATAAAAAGTGCTGTTCCACCTTGTCTTCACATCTAATATAAGCTTATGGACATTTCCTTCCTTTTTTCCTGAAAAATACAATTTATTTATTATTTAATCAAACTACAAATTTGTACATAAATTATAAATATAATATTATTTTGTTTTAAATTTTGTAAAAAAAAAAAATCATAAATTCATTTTACCTTCATTTATTTGCAATTTTCTTAATTCATCAGATGCTGAAGTACTCCGTTTAAAGTACTTAACTACCTCTCTGACTTTGTGCAATAATTGTTTAAACTCCTCAGAATTTGAGATTGAATTCTCAACAACAAGGTTAATCGTGTGGGCAAAACAAGGAATATGATTCCCTTTTCCAAACTGGTCATAAATTGCTTTTACCATATTGGCCCCATTATCAGTGACGACAGCTGCAATATTTTTTTTATTAATATTCCAATTACTCAATGTAATTAGAAGTTGACTTCCTATATAGTCAGCAGTATGAGATTGAGTCAATTCTACTACACCAAGTGTACCTAAAATAATATGAATTAAATTTAAGGATTTAATGATTTAAATTATTAATTAATTTGCGCTAACAGTCATTATTCTAATTTTTACCTGGCAAAAAAGTCAAACCATTCAAGAAGTGGATTGTGATTCCTAAAAAACTTTTCATAGTATAAGTATCAGTCCAAGCATCAGTTGTAACTGATATATTTTCTGCATTTTCGATTTTTTCTTTAAACCGCATTGAAAGATAATCAAATTTGTCATCAATATATTTTTTAATTGTATTTCTAGTTGGTATTTTATACAATGGGCAAATCCGTGACAGCATATATCGAAAACCTTTACCATCGACCGTACTAAATGGTTGATTATCTTTGCAAATGTAATATATAACAGCTTCAGTACATATAGAATGTTGAGATCCACCATCTAAAAATTAAAGTTTTAATATAATTGAATAATTAAATATTTAAAAATAAAATATTTACCCAAAAATGAAGCTACTTTCGTAAAAGCTTGTGAAATTGACTGTTGTCGTTTGATTGGTTCTGAAGTAGTTCCAGAAGTAGAAGCAGCTTCAGATGTACTGGTAGTTGCAATACTAGAAGATTCGCTTATATCTGCGTCAACCTATTTTAATTATGTTTTATATTATCATTATAAATAAAATAGCTAACTTTTGTTGCATTTAAATAAATTTTAAAACATTATAGTTTTAAGAGCATATTTTCAATTTTGCCATTTTACAATACAATTTGATGATTAGACAATATTAATAATATATTCTTATAAATTAAATATTAATTAAGTTCCGTGCGACCGAGCCCTAATAATAATATTAAGGAAATAATTTGTATTATTAATAATAATTAATAAGTATTAATTAACAAATACTTACATTGATTGGGTGGTCTTCATCTTGGGTATTTTGGGTATTTTGGCCTTGGGATGTCGATTTATTGTGCGTTTTCATATGGCTACGTAAATTGGACGTATTTCCAGATGTCTTAAGCCGTTTACGACAAATATTGCACGTAGCCAAGTAGTTATTCATTTTAGTAAAATGTTTCCAAACACCACTTACCGGCGGCATTTTTGGAATAGATAGAGATAATCACGCAAATAAAAAATGGTACAAATTGCAAAATAATGCAAATAATATTTCGATTGTAAAGTACAGCCAAAAACATAAAGCAGTTAAATCAGAACAAAAAAAATAGTCGTATATTCGTACAGTGTTCGACGGTCTACGGACTACGAAGAAATGGTAATGAATAACGATTAATATGAGTAAATGGCAATATTCATTAATCATAATATCCATCATATCATAAAATATTCTAATAATAGTTTAATAGTAGGAGATTCCGTGGAACCGTACGGCCGTACAAATACAATATACCTATATAAGTATATGACTTTATCTACTTTCAATGGAATCAAGTAGGAATAGTAGGATGTACATATAAACAGTAAACATACTGCTATAATAGCTATAAATATATAAAAACCCAAATAATTCATAATTGTATTTTAAAGTCCCAACGATTAATCGTATTAAAATATCACAAGACTCGATAATATCGAGGCGATATATCGGTGTGGTTGTATCGATATAAAATTTATCGATATATCGACTTCATGTATCGATATTTTCGATATATCGATATATCGTTGCCATCCCTAGTTACGTACCGTGTTATTTCAACACATATATATTATACGGAGAGGTGATGTGTATACCGATGGAATAATATATTCAAACAGTGTAGCACCAACGGATAGTGCGAACACCTGCACATCGTGATATTTAATATAATGAATAAAACATGATCACACGTCCTGGACTTCTCGGAAATGATGAGTAAACGATAGTGTTAACATTGTACTATTTAATATGACAATTAAGACTTGATCACACGTCTTGTAATTCTTAGAACCGATGAAATCGCAGGAAAGGCACCCAACTGAATAATACATTTAATTTAGAGAGCTCCTTTAGGTCATCGAAAGTCACCACTCTTGACGGTTAACCATATTTAAGGGAAACGGGGCCAGGCGCCACAAACGAAGAGCTCGACAGAAAAAGCGGAAAAGCCCGTAACCAGATAGGGACAGTGAGTCCAGTGACTGCGCACAAGAATCGACCTTAGGCGAATTGGTAGTCGCCGATAATATGCGTAACCCGGAAGGTCTCTTCGTACATACGCCCGTCCATCACGAGCCAGAGCTAGCCACCGGGCTGGATACGTGCCCCTCCCAGGCGGTGATCTGCAGGACCGAGGAGAAAATGATAAATTTCATTCAAATTAACGCGGGCCGAGGAAAGGCGGCCACGCACCAGATAGACAAACTTCTGGTAGAGTTAGCCATAGACGTCGCGCTAATCCAAGAGCCAGCGACCGATGGTACGGGAATCTACCAGCTACACAGGCATCCCCTTAGGGTAATCGCGGCGGGTCGATGGCCGAAGGCTGCCGTTGTTGTCGCGAACCCGGCCATAGGAGTCCTCGCTCTTAGACATCTCTGTACACCCCACTTGGCCGCGGCCACGCTCACGGTGGGACAAGTCAGCTTGACGGTAGTATATTCATACTTCCAGTTCTCTGACCTCACCCAGACACACGCCGACGTGCTCGGGTCCACCCTGGACCAGAACCGCGGCGCCGTGCTTGTCTGTGCGGATGTTAACGGGTGGTCGACGGTGTGGCACGATGAAGGCACGGACGACTGGGGCGAAGAAATCGTGGAATTGATAAGTAAAGAGGGCCTGTCCGTGCTGAATCAGCCGGACCAACCTAGAACGTTCATGAATAGAGGGTCAGCCAACCTGGACGTTACACTCGCTTCGCCTTCGGTGGAGCGTAGGGTGACGGACTGGAAGGTCATACCCGGATTGACATCAAGCGATCACAACGTGATCAGCTTTAGATTTGCGTGCAGCCAGAACGCCTTTCCGCCCACTGGTAATGCCGTACGGAAACGATATTTATGGAAAAATACTGATTGGAAATCATTCCGTAAGACCTTGAAAAGTTTAACGATAGCACGGTCAGCAGAGCTCGGTTGCCGGTCGTAGATCCCTGTGTGAACGCACTCTCGGAAGTGCTGCAAACGGCTTGTGATACCCACATGAAACGGGCCGTGGTCGGACGTCTGAAACCGTCTCTCTGGTGGAGCTCGGACCTCGGTAGCGAGCTCGCCAGATTAGGACGCTGGAAGCGCAAACTACGCGCAGAACGCAACGCGTTCAGAAAGAGAGCCATAAGGAGGAAGTACACAGACCTCAAGCGGAGATATAACCGCGCCTGCTTCAGAGCACGGCGGACGGCCTGGCGCTCCTTCGTTACCGGCACCGGGAACGAGGAGCCCTGGGGACCCGTCTATAAATGGCTAAAAGCTGGGGGAACACGGCCCTCGGAGAAACTACCAGCGTCCATCAGAAAAATGGACAGAACATTTACGTGTTCGCTTAGGAAGACCGGCGAGAGGCTTCTCGAGCAACTGGTCCCTGAGGATAGCGACGCAACAGAGACCGCAGAACAGGCGGAAATCCGTAGAGAGACCGGCGTTTATGTGGGCAGATTCGAGTTGGCATTACCTGGGCTTAGTCCGACGTTCGACCCGGTTGAACCGTGCACGGTCGATGAGGTAAGAGATGCCATATGGCGGATGAAAACATGCAAGGCCCCGGGCCTGGACGGGATCACGGTAGGAATCTTGCGGCAAGCGTGGCCCGTCCTCCAAAACCAAATTACGTTTGCGTTCAATACCTCACTGGCTACGAGGACATTCCCGAGCCGGTGGAAGAACGCGGCGCTGGTCGTCATTAGGAAATCGCCCAATAAAGGACCCGACGAAGGCTAGGTCATACCGACCCAATAGCTTACTCCCAGTTCTAGCTAAGGCACTGGAACACCTTATCGTGGCGAGAATCCGTAAAGATACGGACATCCATATGTCGGCCAGACAATTTGGTTTCACCAAGAACCTATCGACCGTTGATGCAATGACACACGCCTTCGGCTGGTCAGATGAAAGGCGGGAGAAATACGTCGTAGGCGTATTCCTGGATATATCGGGGGCTTTTGACTGCCTCTGGTGGGCGCAACTAATGAAAGATCTTGAAAAGGTTAAATGCGGCTCTGGGTTGATCGCCCTGACAAAGAGCTATCTAGACGGTCGAAAGGCCCACTTGGCGATTGGAGACATGACACTCTCGACGACCCTAACAAAGGGTTGCCCGCAGGGCTCGGAGATCGGTCCCGACCTCTGGAGGTACGCGGTCAACCCGCCCTTGTCCGGCGATCTTCCCCCCGGGACAGAGATAGTCGCATACGCGGACGATCTCGCGCTACTAATCTCCAGGAAACACCGTCCGGAGCTCATGGAACGCTCGAACGAGCTGCTAAAAATAGCGTCGAGGTGGGCAACTGAAAGAAAACTCATCTTCTCGGTGGCCAAGTCGCAGACCTTGTGGATCAAGGGACAACTAAGTAAGCCCCTTGACTTGCGGGCTTGGTGGGACTAAGGTAAAAATGACCACGGAGGCGAAATACCTCAGGGTCACGTTTGACCCGCAAAGGAAGATTAGCTCCCATCTGGCGGAAAACGCTGCATCCTCGGTAGCGCTATTCAGTTGACTAATATCTGTGGCTAAGGCTAGCTGGGGCCTTAAAGAAAGAACGACAAGGATCCTGTACAATTCGGTGTTCCTGCCGCGTATGGGATATGCGGCCTCGGTATGAGCCGAAAGCTGCATGGCTCAGTACCGGTATCGAACACAGTCAACCATCGCCCAAAGACGCCCGTTACTGGCAATGTCGGGCGCGTATAAGACCACGTTGACGATAACGCTCCAGGTCATAGCCGGAGTACCTCACCTCGACTTGGAACTAGTTCGGCTGGCTAAGATCGAACGGGAGAAGAGCGCCGTGAGGAGAGGAAACAAGTCGGCGTCAGACGTTGTTGGAAAGGTGAAACAGTATTACGACACTACCATACATCTCTGGCAGGAGAGATGGGTCGCCAGTGACAATGGCAGTCGGACGGCGATTTGGTTCCCGGACGTCCGGCGCAGCCTGGAGAGGCCGTGGTTCGTTTCGGATCACCACATCTCGCAGTTCGTGTCTGGACACGGGAATTTCAATTCGTCGATCTGTCGTTTCAACCTTCGAGGCGAGGCATGTTGCCGATGCGATCTCCCAGAGGAAACCGCGGAGCATGTGCTATTCGATTGCTCAGCATATCCCGGTGTAAACGGTAATCGAGAACACTCAATATCTTTGCGTTGAGACCTGATATTTGAATTCTGTTTTTTTGGCAGTTGTTATGACATAAAAATACACATTTTTATGGTCTTTGAATTTTTTTTTACTTAACTAGTCACGCGTATGCGCATGTCAACTTTTTTTTTTTAAATGGCAACCCCCTGCTTTAACCACTAATTATTTTTCGCCTATTTTTTTTAATGAATTTTGGTAGTTGAATCAACTTTCTAAGTCCAAAATTGACTAAGTTACAGCAATTCAAAAAAATAAAAAAAAATTAGAAAAAAAATGCTCTCGATTTTCAGCTTTTTAATTGTAACTCTGAAAATAATTATTATAGGATTGTTAAAGATTGACATTTTTATAACTATTTATTACGGTGATATTAATACGTTATTTTAACTTCAATTACTGAAAAATTTTCTATAAGAACGTTAAGTTATAAATGTATTTATAAATTGTTCAAATTAATTAGGTAATTACCTCTGCTAATCTAATACTTATCGTATTTTTCGGTTATTAATAAGATTAAACATTAGGTTTACCTTATAGTAAACTTTATCTGTATGACAATTTGATATAAAATTATAAATACGATGAGATAAATGAAATAACTGAACATTTCGATATTTTTCATCGTTCAAACCGTGCGTTACTCCGTGACAAATATGCCTCATTCAGATAAAGTTGATATGTTATTTATTTATTGGGAGTGTCAAAAAAATGCACGTCTTGCGGCACAAACATATGCACAACGTTACCCAGGTATAATTGTCTTTATTTT